CCAATCCACCTAGGATCATGGTAACCAAGTCGGCTAGAAACTAGGGGGACAATCGGATAATAAACACCTGGACGGATCCAAGGACAAATCGTAAAGGTTTTATTTTATTAAAGGTTAATAGTGTATTTGGTTCTTAAAATATGTATACTTTATTATTTTTATTGGTAAAATATTAATTTTATAAATTTAATCCTTAAAAAATATAATTCGTGTTTAAATGATTCTTACATAGACAGATCGTTAAATTTTTAATAGAATATTCATATGTTGGGCACATGGTCATTTTTATCAAAAAATTTAATAAATTATTTGATTAAGAACTAAAGTGATACGAATTGAAACTTTAGAAATCAAATTAATAAAATTATACAATAAGAATGAAACTGATAAAATAGACATATTTTAGAGACTAAAAGTGTTATTAACCATTTCTTTAATGTATATTTGGATATGATTTGTGTAGTGATTATTATTCTGAGAAATTATATGTGATTAGTAAAAACAAAAATATCCAATATAAGGGAAAGAAAAAAAAACTCAGAATTCTTTTTGTAATTTTGATAACTCAGACCGTAGGGGCGTATTTTCAGTAAATTTTAGGGGTTAAACTAATAATTAACCTTATTTTTCGTACATGTATGCTTTTGGTCGCTCAATTGCCGACACTCGAAAAGAAATAAGTTAGTCGGCAAAACCATTTATTTACCACCTAAAATATTTGTGCTCGATTTGGTACAATAGAAAAATAGAATAATGAAAAAATAAATAAATTAATTTTCTTTATAACTTATCAAAATTAAATCTTCTAAAATCGGAAAGAAAGTAGATGAAAAATTAATTATTTGTGTTGAAATGTATCTTCTTTGTCTATATATTATGTATACATTAATTTCTTATAAAAATATAATGATCAAATATGTATATATATTATAGAATTTTAAAAATAAAAATAAAAATTTTAAATTAAAAAAATATTTTTTTCATCATAAGTAGGAGTAAAAATTTTCGACTCGAAGACGACACAAATTTTATGATACGAATTTGATAATAACTTGACACGATTTTGAAAATAACCTGACACGTGAACAATAAATATAAAAGGCTCATAATTTTATGACTCAATACGAATCTGATACAACACGATTCGATTGTCACCCCTAATCTTAACCAAAACAAAAAAAAATTTAAAAAATTAGTAATTTTTTATTTTCTATCCGTCCAAATAAACACAAAAGAAGAAAAGTGTATCATTCTTACTTTCCATCATTGAAGAATAAAAAGCATATACCTCCTGCTTTCTATCATTTTTACTTTTCATCATTTCTAATAAACGCAGTATTAATGTGACAGTAATTACCGTAATGTGGTGTCACTAATTAATTATAAATAGAGTAATGTTTTTTAAACTAAAAAAATTAATCTTATTTAATGATTTAATAATGTGATTTTATTGTTACTATTACATTCACATCAAATTTTAATGTTTGATGAAATCCACAATCTATTTAATAGTTATAATAAATTAGATTAATAAATTACGTTCCAAAAACATTGTATTTATAAATAAACGTGCATATAAGTAGAGATCTGAACCATGTCGAGTTAAATGTTTTACGAGTTGGGTTTAATCGAGTTCAAGTGGAAAATTAGTAAACTCTTATACAACTCGTTTAAGTAAACGAATGGGAATCTTCAAGCCATACACGATTTATTTATTAAGCGGGTTATACGACTTAACTAGATTAACTTGTTTAATAAACAAATCGGATTGGATAGGGTCGAGTTAATATGATAACTCTTTTAATTCGCAACTCATTTGACTCCTTTAGTTGAACATTTCCTAAAAATTTATTATTAAATTGAAATAATTAATAATTATATAAATTATTTTGGCTAATTTTTTTGAATACTTATTAATTTATTATCATATTAATTTAATTTAAACGAATTGATTTGCCTCATTTGAACATACTCAGTTTATTAAACGAACATGACGGGTCCATCCATTTACTACTCGAACCCAATAAAATTTTTACCTAAACCCACTTAATTTCGTGTCAGCTCATCGTGTGTTATCGAATTTTGATAACCCTACAAAGAAGTATATCACACTATTCTATAGCTACCAATTACCTTCACTATTCAATATGAGATTCATTTGTCTTGATTATTTATTATTATTTAATAAAATATCATGTGACGATAATTGCACGGAAGATTTCCTGTAATGATTATAGATAGTGATTCTCTAAATGATGAACTTGAAACAACTAAAAGATTAGAAAAGGAGTCGGGTAAACACCTGATTGTTCTATTTCGAAGCTTAAGTTCCGTAGGTGTTGAAGGCTTTTAGCACAGTATTTTTTTCAGTTTCGTTTGCGTGCCTTTGTTCATCATTTTTGAAGAATATTTATACTTGAACTACCAATGAGCGCAGGAGTTTTGAGTTTCATCTCAATATTTAATGAGTTGCATTCTTATCTATGCAAAGTAAGTATTTTTCACTCAGATTCTTTTGTCTGATTTACTCAGGCGATAAGATGATTGGTCAGGCACGAAAAACACTTATGACTCTATCCTTGGTTATTTAAGTCCATTTGATCGGTGTTTGACACTTATTCCTGAGTGTTTAATGCTCGAAAAATAGTACCTAAGGTTTTCTCGAGGATATATGATCAGTACAATAACCATTAATGTTTTACAATGATGACTGTCAGTTTGGGTACCGAAGATACAGAAGCTCATTAATAATCTTATCATAATCACTTAAGTTCTCATTAATGAACAGTCACATCCTTTTTAATAGAGTTCAAGAAGTTACCCTCGGCTCCTCTGAGCTATTATTCTCTTGTCGTCTTTTGAGTTTCATAACGTCTATATCTATTCACATGTCAACTTGGGCGGGGGTATTGAGCCGCTTAAGGTCGTGCCAATAATGATGTAAGCTTATTATTGTACAGTTACTTTCTAAAATCCAAATATAAAAGTAAAATTAATTATATTTGAGCCCGTGCAAAGCAGCAGACAAGTGTGAGCGTGGGGCAATAATTTGTGGGACGAGGTTTTAATACAGCCTTGTTGTTTTTAGCCAAGACCGTGGGCGGGCTTTCCGGCTTTGGGTTAAGATTCCAACACGCATAGTTAAACACCAATACGTGTCTTTCTCTCATTGCTTCTTGTCCACCGAACGACCGGTTCAAAAGGGTTAAAGAAAGAGTGCCGCAACCCACGTGGCAAATCACGAATTCCCCCCCCCCCCCCCCCACCTCTCATCGACATAATTTTTAGTTGGCTGAACTTTAAATTTTTAAAAAAATTTATTTAAAATTTTTAATTTTTTTAATAAAATTATATTTACACACGACAATCTCTCACTTTTATTAGCCGTTCTCAACTTCCCTAAAAACCTATTCCGACTAAATTCTCCACTAATACATTTTCTTATCAAGTATTAAAGTTTTATAATATTAAATTATTTAATAATAATGCATGAATTTCATTAAATTCAATTATTTCATGTGGGTTGTATAACTATTCTCACAAAATTATTTTAACTTTAAATTTTTTATCTTACTTAATTTAACATAATAATAAATAAATTTTCAGTAATTCTAAAGTCAAGGGTGGGGTGGGGGTGAAAGTGGGAGTAAGGATAGGGTTGGTATAATTATTATGAGAGAGATTGAAAATATTGTGAATTATATGATGTGCTACTAGAAAATATATTGTCATAAAATTCATATTTGAGTAGGTCCGGCAATTGTGTCGAGTATAACGATTTTATATAAAAAAAAAACACTTCATTCTTTATATAAATGAGTTCAAATATCATACTCGAATACGACTCATTTATTACACGGTTTACCCAACATAATACTTGTATCACCCCGTTAAATAAGAAAATCGATTAGAGTATTTCAAGTTCACACGAAAAATTATTAACTCTCCACACATTATGTATGTTTGACTTGTTTATTATAACAATAAATAATAACTAAATACAAAAATAAAGATAAAAAATAAACACTAAATTCGAATAAATCTAAGAGATGGAATGCGTGAGATGAAGTAGAGGTTGAGAGACTTATTTTATTTTTTTTAAATTTATAGTATCACTGTTAATAGATTAAACTGGTTGAAAACGAAGTTATATATTAAACATGAGATTGATTCGTTTATTTCACATATCTGCTAAGTTAACTCATTAATCATTTGAACTAGATAAAACTACACTCAAATCACTAAATAAGTGTTAAATTTATATTGATTTAACAAGTAGTGTGTATAGGATTGGCGGGTGGCTTTCATAAGTTACACTTTTTTTCTCACTAAATTTCTCCCAAACTGTAAAAAAATAAAGAAACGATGTAACACTAATGTTTTATTTTCTCAATTTCTAAATATTTTTCGTTTTACATAATTTTTTTATTCTATAATATCTGTTGTTTAATGAAAACAAAATATAATTAATATTTTTTTTTCTAAATTTATCCTTAACTTTTGAATGCATTAGATTTAGTGGAGGTTAAGTGTTTTTCATATTTCTTTCCTTCTCAATATTTATTGAGTAAGGGTATTTTAATTTTATACAATTATTTTTTATTTATATTAGAGTTATTTAATAATTTTTTTAATTTTTATATAAAAATTTTAAATGATGAATATTTAGAAATAGAAGAAATATTAATTTATTAAAGTCCACCAAAAGTTTGTTACGCCATATTTGCAAGGAAGGTGTGTCAATCCGTCTCTAAGTAAATATTGAAAGCCGCCGCCAACGCCTACCTGCCACGACACCCCTCATGGACCACAATACTAATAAATTGCCACCCAATCGCCCTCGTAGGGCGGCTGCCCCCTTATCGGTCAAACACTCCATTGACTGTATCCTTCACACCCACGTCTCTCTCTCCTCCGCCCCTATATAACCACCATCACTGCCTTCTTTTTCCTCAAATCTTTACCCTTATTTTTCAATCAGACCTTAATATTTATCCATAATGGTGGTTGTGGCACCGAAAGATAAGGTGGGTGGAGATTTGAAAGGGAAAGGAGGTGAGAAAGAGTTGCATTTTAGGGGTGTACGGAAGAGGCCATGGGGCAGATACGCGGCGGAGATCAGAGATCCCCGGAAAAAGAGCCGCGTGTGGCTTGGTACTTTCGACACGGCGGAGGATGCTGCCAAAGCCTACGACACCGCCGCCAGGGAGTTTCGCGGCACTAAGGCAAAAACTAATTTCTTTTTACCTGATGAAGATGATTTGAAGATGAAAAATAATAACAATAATCGGAGTCCGAGTCAGAGCAGTACCGTGGAATCCTCCAGTCGTGAGGGTTTTTCGCCGGCTCTCATGGTAGACTCGCCGGCGCTGGATCTCAACCTCGGCGGTGGATTTGGCGGTGCTGTGAAGTTTCCGTTTCAGCCGTACCAGCAGTTACATGTTTCTCCGATAACCGGAGGTTTTCCTGGTACTACGCCACCCGCGGTAACTCAGATGTTCTATTTCGATGCAATTATACGGCCTGGAATGATTAACCAAGCCTATGATCCTCACCGTCGGATGCCAAATTTCGATCACTTCCACAGCAGTGCTGTCCGGAGCGATTCGGAAGCGTCCTCGATTGTTGATTTGAACCGCAACGATCTCAAGCCTCACAACAGTTTCCTCGATATAGATCTCAACAAACCTCCACAGCCGGAGGATGCCTGACTCTGATTACCGCCGGTGATCGGAACTAAATTTTAGCGCCTTTTTTATTGTTTTTTAGTTGTGATTTTCTTTCAAACTCGAAGAAAAATGGATAATACGAACGGTAAGAGCTTACGGTGATCTTTTTTACTGTGCGATCGGATCGACGATCACCGCTGTATGTGAATACAGAGCTGATCCCTCTTTTTTTGCAGCAGAGAGAAATCGAGAGATTTTTATTCCTGTTGTTGATGACGATGTATTGCCTGAATGTGGACATGGATCAATGTAACCTTTTAGGTGAAATCAACAATTTTTATCATTCAATTTACTTATAATCTCTATCTCTCCCTCTCTCTCTCTCCCTCCCTCTCCCTCTCCCTCTCTGTGAGTTTCGCCGGTGTTTCACCGGAGTTGGTCTGAAAGTTGTGAAGCTCTGTTTCGGAGGTGAGATCGCTGTAGGTAATGCCACGTTTGAGTACGGATAGTGCATTAAGTTTGACCGTACTTGATATGGAAATTCGCTGTCACGTATTGTGCTGGATGGCTCCATTTTCTTTATTTACATTTTGGGATCACTTAATTGTTTATTTACAATTTAGGCGTCACTTAAATTGTTTGTTTATATTTTGAGCTGCTTTTTTCTCATGATATTTTATGAATTTTTTTTTTCTTTTTGGTATGCCCATTATTTCTCAATTTAGATCTTTTACTTTTACATTGGTGCCAAAGTTGTGAGTAGTTTATTACAGATTAAGGGAATAAAATATATCATTAACCCCTTTTTAAAATAATTAATCACTAACCATTCCAAAAAGTCTTAAAGGCATTTTTTTTTTTAATGTGGTGATTGGAGTCTTAATATTAGGCCGAACCCAAAAAGTACGTGGAATGTAGTTTATATTGGCCAAGAAAAACTTATCATAATTTCAAGAGTAAAAGATATAAAATTATGGCGGATCAGCGGTTGGCATAATAGTCATTGCAACTCGTCGTTGGATTCACAAATTTAAATCTTACCATCCTCTCTCCTGTAACAGTTCTAAATAGTGACCAAATAAATTTAAGAACCAATTGAAACTAGCTTAGTTGGTTATCGCCGATTCTTTTAACCTTGTTATAAGTTTTTGTCCTCTTTTTATATATCTCATTTTGTGAATTATATTCTTTCATTCGTAAATCTCTCATCTATTTTTAGAGTTAATTTTAAAGCTATCACACATAGAGGAATATGATTTCGTTGAAAACCTCAGGGCTAAAACCTCATTGTTGTACATTTATATTAAAAATCTAGGAGTATCATCAAATCACATCATTGGAGTGACTTTTTCTCATTCTTTTAAAACTACATAGATTTATAGGGGATTAAGGACACAATTGCAAGATTGTTATCCTTGATTAAGACATGTGTTTGTAATCATCTGTTTGGAAATTATATATTTATCTTTAAAGGTAATGGCAAGTTTTCTTTATTTCTTTTTATTAGGGAAGTGGAGCCACTCTTTTTCTTGCATGAAAGGCTTTCATGAAGCTTATAAAACTAGAATGCTAATATCCTTATTCTTTTCTCTATTTTACCATCTTGCATAATGCAACTTATTTATTAAATATCTAATATTGACCAATAAGACTATAAATCTAACATTAAATTGGTAACATAAGACTAAAAAATGTAAAAATTTGATAAAAATGATTTTTTTGAATCACAAATCACAGACATAGGAGCAGAGAGTAATACTACTTGGACATAATTTCTCGATTTTATTTACTAACCTAATCTTTTTTTACAATTGACTTGACAGTGAGCTCCACTATTTAGTTAGGGTTCATTGTTGTATTTGTGTTATGTAGTATTTTAAGTGTAATAGTTTATGTGTGTATTCAAATTTATTAGTTTGTTATTTAATAATAAGATAAGTATCATCCCAATGGGTACTCATGTATAATTCACTTTAATTCGTTTAATTAAATTAAATGTTATTATCTAATTTATTTTAAACTCGCATTAATTAATATAAATACTTAAATCATCAATTTATGAATGAATTAATAAATAATTAATAAAGATTACCACCTTTAGAGTTCACTATTAATTTGATGATAATGATACATACCAAACTAAGTTTTATTTTCCAATTATTTAAACTTGACTTATTTGGACTTATCACGATGGATCGAACAAAGTTTTACACTGAATCTCGACTATCTAACGTAATCTTCCTCTTTTATTTTGGACTTAAGAGAGACAGTATTGAATACAACACTGAGGGAGTTATGACTATGATAAATCAAATCATTAAATAAAATCAATAAATTAAGTATATAAATAACATTTTCCAAGTGCCGGAGGTAACAAAGAAATTCATAAATTGTTTGGGGGACAATAGGACGGAATAACCCACGCTCCTTAACGTACCACGCGCGAGAGTGGGATAAGTAGAGGATAAAAACCTGTGTTGACTGAGTCGTCTCTCGAGATTCGAGCTGACTGGGAATGCCGTCCGATCTCCTAATATTTTAATTTGAGTTTTTGGAAAATTGATTCGAATAGTTAGGTCGGGGGGACAGCTTGGCGGGCCCACGTGGACGAGGACCTTGGGAGTTGGGAGTGAAAGCGCGGCTGCCGCTTTTTTTGGGTCCCACTTCTTGGTAGTCCAAATCAGGGTGAAGATTTTGCCTTCTGTTTTTGAATATAACAGCAGCTTTATTTTATTCATGCCCCACTATTTGTGGCAAAGGTGCTTTTCTTTTTCTTTTTTCTCCATAAAAAAAAATATTTGGAAATTATGGATGATGAATGTAAAGGGCAATTTAGAATTTTCACTATAATTTAATTTTTTTTTTTAGGGGAAGGGGTTCTCATGCTATTGTATAAAGTATTGTTGCATTGCCAGTAAACACCTGCCCAAATCAACCTAGTTTTAGGTTTTAAGTCTGATTTTTATAATGCGTCGGCGCAAAGTAGCCATGACTCGTGGTGACGTGTCGGATTAGGACAGACAGTTACGACGGCGAGTCGGCTGAGTATGGGCAAACGGTTGTGGGGTGGGACCTACCCCATCTCACAAGAAAGAGAGAAAGCCCTTGGGTCCCTCCTTTCGGCGCCACGTTCGGACCCACCAAGACAAAAGCGAAGACCAAATGAATAGAACAACAGCCGACGGGGCATGAGAGAGAGAGAGAGAGACGTATACAGATACACGTATACATACAGAGAGGAAGTGACGTTTAACAGCGAGAGAGAGAGAGGGTTAGGTGGGGCGGCTGCTTCTCTTTCCCACCCGGTTTTGAGTGGAAAGTTGTTGCCTCATGAGGTGACAGCTCCTTAACAATTATTTTTTTTAATTATTTTAATATTCTCTCCCATCTAGCCGTAAATAATTAAATTACATTATTGAAGTTCGATTCAATCTCTGTCTCAATAGAACTTAATTCGAATTCGGTAAAAAATTAAGGTGAATTTAAATAATTTTTTAATATTATTTAAAAAAATAAATTGAATAGAATCGGCTCAAATTAAAAAAACTCGATTCGATTATCAACCCAATTTAAAAGTATGCAATAAATTTTTTTAGCAATAATTTAAGGATTTATGTCTTCCATTTTTACTAAAGGTGATAACAGAAAATTTATAGATTGATTAATATATTTACTGTGATTAAAAGAATAAAAATATAAATAAAAAATTACTATGCATAAAATATTACAACATAAGTCGTTATATCTAAACAATATGATTTCTATTGTGCTTCCCTATATCAGAACCTTACTAAAATATAATCTGGCCGGAGCAATACTAATATGTTATTAGTGCATACAAACCCAATCTATCAATTAGGAGAATAAATGGATTATGATTGGATTTTGGATTAATTAAATAAAAACTTTGTAAATAAACAAATATATTTGGAAAGTTTCCCTTAAATTATGGCAAGAGAGAAGACATTAACTCATCATGTTTCTCTTTCAATCATTCATTTCGAATTTCTACTAGCCATAGCCCAAAAAAACAGCGGGGGCCCAGCCCACACTTGTCAATACTTTTGTGGTGTAGTAGCCTCACTTTGATTCAAAAGTTTTTAGGTGAATCGATTTGATGGTTTATTCGAGATAATTACAGGTTTAAAGCGATAAATTTGAGTAAATTTTTTTATATTTTACCAAAAACTCGAGGGTAACTCAAAAGATAATAAAATTTACCAAAAAAGTAATGTATGTACACCCAAAAAATAGTAAGTATTAGGATGCTTAATTTTTTTTTTTGGTACCATACCCTAATTCGTTAATACGATACGAAATTTGAGGAATTTAATGGTATATTTGGTATGATAGAAAAATAGAAGAACGAAAAGTTGAAAAAATAAATAAAATATCATGTTTGGTAAAGAAGAAAAATAGGAAGATTAAAAAAGTAGATGGGTTAATTTTCCTTCAAAATTAAGGAAAGTGGATGAAAAATTAATTATTTGTGTTTATATATATATTTTAAAAAATAAAATAAAATAAAATTTTAAATTAAAAATAATAATTTTTTCATCTTAATTAGGGGTGAAAATTTTCAATTTAACACGATGACACGACTCGAACTCGACACAAATTTTATGACACAAACTTGATTAAAACTCCATATGAACTTGAAAATGATCTGACATGCGAACAAGAAATATAAAAAACTCATAATCATATGACTCAACACGAATCTGACATGATATGACTCGATTGTCAACCTTAATATTAGACAAAAAAAATTGGTCATTTTTATTTTCTATCCATTCAACCAAATACAAAGTAAAAAAAGTGTATATCATTTCTACTTTTAATTTTTGAAGGATATACAGTGTATCCTTTCTAATTTCTATCATTCTTATCAAACGGAGCATAAATTTTTCTTATATCACCAATTGTATATAATTAATAAATAAATTAGATATAAATAAAATAAAAATTGATAAACCCTTAAGAAGGGTTAAGTGGTCAAATCCACCTTCTTACAAGCAAAATATCTTAGGTTCAATATTTCT